TCCAAATATACATTAAATCCTCGATCCAATTTTCTATTTGACAGTGTCATGTGGTCACATCATAATATTAATTCAACAATCATGTCAAATTATTGAGCTCAGATTTAACTATTCATTAGAAAATCTCTTGAGGTCATGATCATGTCTATTATATAGGTTACGGATTCCATATTGCGAATATACGTTCTCCAATTATTTCACTTTAATTCCCATGTCATCTAAATTTTGATTAACAATTTAATCTCACTCATTGATACTTTAAAAAACTTCAAATTTAATAATCAAAGTTCATTACTCGCTCAAGATTAAGGTACTATGTACAATAGTCAAGTGAAATTAAATTTAAGTGGTCAATTCCATAAATTAATTTCACGTTATCCAGTTCAATACATTCCAAAATGTACAATCAATTTTATTGCTAAAGTCAAGATCAACTTTAAATAAAATTGAAACAATCTTATCAAAATGAAGTGTTTGTCTTTATTTATCGATTGTGGACAATAAGCTTTAGATCGAATTATAAATCAAATCTTTTCGTGTTTAACAACTTAAACACTTGATTTATATAATATCAAGTCGATTTATGAACAAAATGCAAGTTCAAATTAATACAAACAGCTTATTGTAAAGATAAATTATTATTTTTATTTAAAATGTCACGAGTACAAATAAATTTATTTGAAAGGATAAAATTAAACTAATAGATTCGACAGTATCTATTGCTGCGAGCTATTCATCTTTTTGGAAGGAATCAAATGGAAGGAACGACCAGGAGCAAAATAACCATGAAGCTTTTTTCTTCAATTTTCTTCCGGCCCATCCACGTCTTTTGGAGCCACAAATGAGCATTAAATTTGATCCCCTTTTCCCATTTTGTTTTGCGAGTATTGAAAACTATGCCCAGATCCTAGATCCATTTTTCCAACCTGGGCGATGCCATTGAGGTGCTCGTCGATGGGTACCCGAAAATGTTCGACATCTGTGGATGTATTTCTACGGGTTTCCACTTTGCCTTGGAAGAATTATCTATATGGGTTTTCAGTTGGTGTTAGAGGGATTTGCAGTTGGATGTTAAATGGAAAGACTTAAAAAGTGTTGAAAATTTGAGGATTCATGTTTCTGCAAATGTGTAACCATGGCTTGAATAGTGATATTGGATTTCGTTACAAGTAAACCAACAATTTGACTCGATTCGGCCTGTCAATATCTGTTACCGATTGATTCTGTTTCAAAATAGCCCAATATCGATTAAATCGGGTCAGGTAGGGTTCTGGACCAAAAATCAACCCAACCCATTGCCAAGCCCCTTCGGTTAAGCCCCTTCGGTGCATGGCCCTTTTCTTGCTTAAAAAGGTAGATAGTACAATGGATAATGTTATGTATACACACAGCATTATATCTCCTCACATGAAAGGAGTTCAAATACAATAAAATATTTGTGGGCTCCCCTCCATGTGAAGAAGGTGTAATATATTGTTTACACCTCATGACGTACACATAACATTTCCCTAGTACAATTGATCTTTAGTAAATATTCATAAATAATAATATAGTCCAAGATATATTTATGTTGTAGCAAATTAAAGATGTATGGTCGAGTCTTAGGGCAAGTCTCAACCCTCCAATCAAATTGTAATTGAAAATTTTGAAAAAGGAGGAGAGAAAGGGAGGCGTTCCCTTCTAAATTCTAAGTATGCCAATGCGGTCCTGGCCTTGTACTCTCCCCTTCACATGTTGTGAATTGATTTTACCTGAAGCATTGGATTCAGAAAAATGGGGACCCACTACAGCTTCAAAGGATATAAAATGGAGAATAATAACTACGTCCCTTTGTTACAACAAAGGAAAGTGGGGATGTATTGATTTAATTAGATGGTTCAAAAAGTATAAAATGTAGACCAATACGCAGAATTTGGTTCAAAAGGCTTCTCCTTGTTGATTTATATTCATTTGTTAAGCTTCGTGGATGTTCTTTATAGTTCTTGACCGAGCTTGGACCATGTCTTCCTTCCAATACATATAAAGCAAGACGATTCCACTTATCGAGGTCAAAATGGGGAAAAAAGGTGGAGGTGATCGTGAATCTCTAGTATTTTTTACATATTGACTCTCAATATTTAAAATTGAGCATTTATGTCTCCAATATTTCAATTTTGCGTTTGCATTAGTCGATCGACATAATCCAATTTTCTATTAAGCCCATGTTTGACCACCTTTCTTTGGCATTTTCCGATTTTCCCAACATTATTATATTATTTAAAAATTCGATTATACAAGTTGCACAATAATATGTTGGTTTTTCTCCTTGTACAGTCTAGCCCCCTCACATGAGGGAGCCCCTCGTGTGACGGGGCTGTGAACGACACCGTCAATAATGTGTTAAGGCAAAGGATCCACAATTATTGTGCAAAATGGTGTTTTGCTTGTCAAGGAAATGATTAAATCTACCATTGACCGCCCAACTTAGTATTTAGTGTTAATATGATTATTCAATTTGATTTTGTTTCATCATAGTGTCACCATGAAAATCTAATTTAATTTCACCATAGTCACCTAATTTTATAAAACGTTTCCTTTCATATAATGTTTCATTATGGTCACGTAACTTCTTTTCACTCATTTTAAAAGGGGTAATATGGTAAGTTTGAATTATATATAAAATAAATTTTGAAAATAAAAAAAAAATAAAAAAATTTAATTTTATTTAAAAAATATAATAAAATAAAAACTTATTTTATTTTTTAAGTAATATTTTTATAAAATAAGTTTTTTATTTTATTTCTTTAAGTAACATTTTTTTAAATAGGTTTTTATTTTATATATAATGCAAAGTTCGTGTTTTATCCCTTTTAAAATTAGTGAATATAGTGAAAAGAAGTTGAGTAATCCCAGTGAAATGTTATATGAAACTGAGTGGTCAAGTGAAAACGTTTTATGAAATTCGACATTCAGGATGAAATAAAATCAAATTAGTTAGTCATGGTGGCATAAAATATAAAATTGGATGATCATAATGGAACAAAATCAAATTGAATGAATATGACGATACTAAATACAAAATTAGGTGACAGTTGGTAAATTTAACCCGTCAAAAAAAGGCTGTCTGACAAGCACTAAAATAGTGCGTGGGGCTCACATTTTAAAAGTAAAATAAAATAGTCACAGACAATTATGACAAGGAAATAAAAAGAAAAAACGAAAGAGCATATTGTTCAATCCATTCCGAAGTCTGTTGCGTGTACAACATAGTGTATAGTCTCCTTACAACAGGAATTCACGATTTTTTTATTGACGATGGACCTCACAAATGGGCTTTCAACTAGCAATATCCATACATTCCAAAAGTAAAATTTCGTGAGAGCTAAAAGTTTGATTTGATTGTGTTTAAAATATGATGTGCATTAAATTTCATTTGAATTATTGATAGAATAGTACGTCAATTAAAATTTAAATACAAAATAAAAAACTTTCTCGAATATTTTACTGCGCTCTTGTACACATGTAAATTGGAATATATAATTGAAGTTAGGTGTGTTCAAGATTCCATCTTATCCAATTAAATGACGGGATGTTATGATTGATTGGACTTTCTTTTTATTCGCAAGCTGAATAATTTTGGGCCGTCTGGTAGATATTTTGCTTTTATTTTTATTTTTACTTCTCATAGAATATTTTTAAGTGCTGATTTGATAAGGATTTTGTTAATTGATTTTTTGATCGTTAGAGATAAAGTAGATCCTACTTGTGAGAGAAGAATTTAAAAATATTAGTTGCAATAATGAAATAACGATAAAAAAAATTTGACGTTAATTGAATTAAAATCTCTACCAAACATGCTCTAAAAGTTTTTAAAAGAAGTCATATTGTTTTATTTTTCTGCAAAAATTCTTTTAACTTTAAAAAGCATTTTCGTAAAATTAATCAAATGAATTTGTACAACGGAATTTCGTTTTATTTTTATGTCTACAGAGTTCAAAAATAACGTTTGAATCGAAGAAAGAATCGATATAAAAAAAAATTGATTAAAGTTATCCCGAATCGACGACACTAAACAAAAAGTAGAATTAAGGTACATACAGTGTGGTTAAATGCTCAATTAATTGTATTTATTATTTAGTATCACATTAACATCACATATAGGGCTTGTTTGGGAACGATTTTTCCTCCAAAAAAATGATTTTTTGACCGTTATTTCACTATTTCAATCGTCATATTTGACTTCTTCTCTCACAAATAGACCTTATTTTTCTCCTAACGATCAAAAAATCAATTTTCAAAATTACTCCCAAACAGAGATTATAACTCAAGTCAACGATGTAAGTTTAATAAAATCCAAAAAACAGAAAACAAAAAATATATATATTTTAGTGGGAATTCAATTGTGGCCACTGTGACCTTTTTACCGACTTTGCCGATGCACGAAGACCCAAGGAAAGAAGTTAGCAGAAGACCTGCCTAAGGTCATTTCTTATGTTATTTTCTATTTCTAACCAATGTACCACCCACTTCATGATTAGACCACGATGACGACTGTCCTTCGACCTCATTCGCAATTCCACCACTCTTATTTGCAAATTCTTATTTGTCCTTGGACAAAAAAAGAAAAAAAAAAAATTAAAATTTGTAATTTTTTTTCCAAATTGTGTTTCTTGTGAGGAATTTTTAGAACGGTTTAGGCTATTTGAATCTCGGACTTAAATCTGATTAGAGATTTCATATTCAATCGTACTACTTGTACAATGTATTTTACAACTTGATTTACAATGTAGGAGTTGGCAAACATCACATCTATCTATTTGGAAAACTGTTTTTAAAATCAATGGCCAAGATTTTTTCAACACGTTTGTTGTCAATCAAGTTGTGCAAATACATTGTACAAGTGACTTTATTCTTTCATATTTTTCCTGAATTAAGCTACTTTGCAAGAAAATATTGACATCCTAGTTGACAGATGCATTGTTGACAAAATATGATGTAAAAGTTATTTATTTTTAAAATAGTTCAAGAACGGAAGGAAGATTTCAAATTTATCTACCAAAGTAGTGTGATTGTTTTTTCTTAGTCGCACTTGTGTGTCTGCGAGCCCTGATTAGTGATTCTTGATACCCAGCATAGCTCTACTCTTGGAAAGATCATATCAAGATTTTTTTCTTGAAAACCCAGATTTCAAATTCCAATTTAGATTTTTGGGTTCCAAACACTTTTCACAATCAAAATTTCCATAAAAAACTGCTTCCAAAATCCAAAAATCACAAAGAATCATGCATCCAAATATCCAAATTCCTTCAACAAAAGCAGTGGTTTCAACTGCAGCTTCTTTGGCTGCTACGACCATGTTATTCCGATCCTTCGCCAAAGATTTTGTTCCACGTGAACTCAGACAATATGCCCTCACCAAATTTCACTACTTTCTAGCCACGTTCACCAATGAAATCACCATAGTCATCCATGAATATGAAGGCCTAAACAAAAACCAGCTCTTTTCTGCAGCTGAAATCTACTTGGGTACCATTTTTAATCCCTCTACCAAAAGATTTCGAGTATCATTGCCCAAAAAAGAGAAGAAAATCCATGTTTCAATGGAAGGAAATGAAGAACTAGTGGATAAATTTTGTGGGTTCCAACTGAAATGGAGAATGGTTATCCAAAAAACTCAAGCAAGGCGCGTGCCTTATCCTGATGAATATTCTTCCACTATAAAGTCCGAGATTCGATATTTCGAGTTAAGGTTTCATAAGAAGTACATAAACAAGGTTCTTGATGAGTATTTGCCTTATATTGTAGAAAAGTCCAAATCCATCAAACAAGAAATGAAAACATTGAAATTGTGGACTTTGAGGAGTGGGAGGTCCGGAGGAAATCCATGGCAGTCTGTGAATCTTGATCATCCAGCCACTTTTGAAACTTTGGCAATGGATGCAGAAATCAAGAATATGTTGATTGATGATCTTGAAAGATTTGTGAATAGGAAAGACTTCTATAGGAAGGTGGGCAAGGCATGGAAGAGGGGATACTTGTTGTTTGGGCCACCAGGGACAGGGAAATCAAGTTTGATTGCTGCTATGGCTAATTATCTGAATTTTGATGTTTATGATTTGGAACTTACTGATATTAGGAGTAATTCTGATCTGAGGAGACTCATTATTTCAACTGCTAATCGGTCGATACTTGTGGTCGAGGACATAGATGCTTCCATTGATCTACCAGAGAGGCGACTAGCAGCGCCACCACGGCCACGGCCAATGGATCCTAACCATCATAATGAAGGACCGAAAGTAAGTTTTCTAATGAAAATTTTACAAACATATTTTTCATCGCATGTTTACCAATTGCTTTTTCCGTTCATGAGACTAAAACTAACATTGTTTTTTGATTTGCTAAGGATCTACTCGCCTTAGATCTGTCAGTAAGATTAAAATTTTAATCGAACAAAAATTACTCATAGCCCACATATATTGGGAACAAGGCTTTTGGTATTAATATTTATCATGAGTTGCTGATGATTTCCAGGCATGTTTGTTAAATGTAAGTGTTAATAAGATATTAGATTAAATAAGAATTAAAATATGTTATAGAAAGCTAATATAAGTAGAAAAATCACTTGTATTTAACACAATTTGCCTTATAACACAATTTGCCTAT